ACCTACAAGTAAAATTCCAACACCACGAAGAGGAAATTAATGGAAAACCATTTTATTAAAAAATACGTTCCTCGACTTAACTTCATTAATTTTCTTAAATCTATCCCACTCATTATTCCTAACTTGAACCCATATTCTACCGATTAACACACGTGTGTACATGTTTTTTATTAGTATGTTTACAATATACTATACTGTCCATCTTTATACAATGACATTATTTATGAATAGTCCCAAGACGGATGAAAAGTACTTTAAAGTGTTAAAATATTATTAAACCAGTGTTGAAATCAGTTTGTGTCGGCATACCTTTTATCTTTTCATCGTTTACCGTGAAACAAAGTAGTGTAGCTTTACGGTTGTGCTAATATTTCTGGAGATATATATAGCTGCTCTCAGTATATAATATTTAAAAAAACACAATTGGAGTGGTGGGTACAAATGGGCGTAACAGTCATAGTGGTAATGAGAGAGAGAAATGGGTTTTAATGTCCACGCGACAAAAACTAGGTCATTTCGGGACTAACATGGTTCAATTTATTTTTATTTCAATAATTCGCTTGCGTGTAGGGGTCTTTAGCAGTGGGAGGAAACCGGAGAAAACCCACGAGGTTGGGCAGGCTACCCTAGTCCTTGTTACGTACAACCAGGGATCCGAAACCACGCCAGTTGGTTCAATGACAGACCTTATGATACAGCGCGCACGTGCTAACCATTCTGCCACCCAATCTCCCTTAGTGGTGATGAGAATATTTGCTGTTAACCGGATTTCTCCGTGGCTACTATAAGATGTGGTTGAGTAGTAAGGTACATGAGGACCTATCCTAGCCTACAAACTACTATAATATAGTAGGTTAAATAGGCCTATATGATGACTTAAAGATACATTATGTAGGATTTACATAACAACGAGCTGGCCGTTCTTGTTATAATAGTTGAAAATTTCAGTCAAATTTCTTTATTCTGGGCATCTTTAAACAAGATACTGCCAAGCCCCCCCCCCACCTTCACATCCCTGACGCACTCACCACACCTGCACTACTCCCTAAACGCCACTAAGCATGCTCTTAGACTTCAGCCCCCTACTCAATTCATTGCTATTTTGATCCTTTATATACTTTTCCATTTCAGTAACGACCGGTATAGAATCACCCAGATTCCCGGGTAGTGTTGGCATTAATCAATTTATAGTTTTCATTGTACCTGGTGTTCCAAACAAACGCATCCAATTCACCTTCGACACGAGATTTAGAGTTGAAATTGCTACAACTCCAAACTTCGTCGTTTCCGACGTTTGCACATCAGCCCTGTCCAGGAACGGAACAGACTTTTGTAGATATGATTATGTGGAAGTTGCTGGAACAAGGTTAGCAAACAAATCATTTCTCCAAAAATAAAACGACTGGGCTAATGAAAATGAACATACGTCATGCAGTGTAATACGGGAGAAATCTTACGCGGACATATACGTTTCCGCCTACTCTTAATCGAATTCCAACTCTCCCGTCAAAAGGTAACACCAGACCTAGTAACTCACGTTTTTCTTATTTTGAGAAAACAAAGGAAAACGTAATCAATGAATATTAAACCCAGCCTATCCATTGATTTGACGATTGAATTACTAGGATTTTCTGTGGCATACTAGGCAAATGAAGGAAGTTGCTAGGTTGTTTCATGGGTGTAACTGCTTACAAAATCAAAAGATTTGAATATCTAGTACAACAACAGGAAGCACATATCCTAGTATAAAAAAGTGAGTTGATAGGTTTTGTAGGTTTTGACTTTTTCGTGCACTTCAACGATTAGACGTTCCGAACGATTAGACGCTGTCCCCTGCCAGGCCATCTGCCCTTACAAAGACTACCTTACGTATCAGATTTGTCCTATCTTTTCAAGCAATTATCCATTATACATTTTTATTGAGCATTACAATGTATATATATTCAGGTAAAATCATACCTATCATTCTACGGAGACAATTAAGGTTATATACGTCGCGAATTAAGAAATAGTAAATGGCATTTAAATAATCTAGCAATGTTTTTCTCATCATTAATTTTTTTTTTCAGGTACTGTGGTGGAATAGCACCACCGCCAATAACATTGGCCATGGGAAAGAAAGGTGTTGTCAAATTTCATTCCGACAATGTTATTTCGTGTTCTCCTGGATTTAGCCTGGATTATTCTTACATAGGTATTGATTTAAAAAATATTTCTTAAAGACTCTGAGAAAAGGCGGGATATTAAACCCATTCTCTTTTACAGAATTGTATATTTGAAGTTCCGATGCGCCTTTTTAGTGCTGTATGAATCCTTTGCAGGCTACACTATTGTAAAGTCTAATCTTTAATAGGAATATCAATCCAAAATTGGCCCCGTTCTGTTCAGTATTTAAAAAGATATCATGGAAATTCAATCGATCTATGTTACTCCTTACATAACAAACACACCGCCATCTTTACTTACGGTGAACAAAATTGACGGGTCTGTTTTAATCGGAGCCGGTGATTATCCAGCGTTGTTACCTTGATTTAACTTTCTTAAAGATGTTTTATTATGTAAGATTTAGATAAAGAGCTGACAGTTCTAGTCCTAACAGTTCAAAAATAGATAATGAAAAACGAATGTATTAAAAATTATTATTCAAATTACTTTATTCTGAGCGGAGTTATGAATTTTAGAAGATTTAGTTGAATTGTTTATTATCGCAGAAACGGTACTAGGCAAATGAGACTAATTTTATCGTTAAATCTTAACGGGGATTCGACCCACCCGAACCATTATACGTTGTACCTTGCCAATCTCTCCGCCTTGCACCGCTAACAAGGGGGAACAACGTCTGAAAACTTTCTCGGTCAAGATTAGGATCGGTTACAGAGCCAATGTCTTACCTTGCTGTGCCACCATGGCTTCCAGCAGTGAAACTACTAACTTACTTCAGATAATGCCCCCCCCCCCCCCTGTCAGTGATGCAGGACGGTGAGCCTAACAAGGACAGGTGTCTAGGCGTTGGGATGGGACGAAAAACCGAGGTCCCGTGTACAAATTGGCGTGCACGTAAAAGATCCCTTGACAGTTGGAATTCGATATAAGAGTAGGCCGTAGTGCCGCTGTCGAGGCAAATTTTCCCTCATTGCAAACAGTATGGCGCATGCCCGTCTTCATTAGCCCAGTTCGGAGCAGAACAGTAGGACGTTAAACTCCATTTTATTTCATTACTCCAGATATTGTCTTTTATAGTATATTTCGAAACGATACGAAATGAAATGAAATGGGTTTTAACATCTTAATCTGTACCAATCATATGGGTTGTAGCAAGGTTTTCTGTACCAATCATATGGGTTGTAGCAAGGTTTTCTGTACCAATCATATGGGTTGTAGCAAGGTTTTCTGTACCAATCATATGGGTTGTAGCAAGGTTTTCGGATTTCATATCTGCAAATAACAAATTATTGAAAAAAAGAGTAGCATATGTTAGTCCGGAAATGACTTAATCGATGAGAGGAAACTGGACAACTCAAAACAGGAGGCTAAAAGTCGTGCCCCTCTCCCTTTCTCGCCCCCGGCATCGCACAAGTAGATTTGACTGTCTACCCACGTGGGGTTGGCCGGGTACTTCTGTGTTATCCCCGCCAATGAGCAAATTGTTGAAAAAGTGTAGCTTATGTTAGTCTCGAAATGACCTGGATGGTGTCAAGCGGACATTTCTCTCGCTTCTTCTCCTTTATCAAATTCACAACAAATTAATAGGTTCTTTTTATGCTTTCAGATGCTGTAGGCTACCAGTAAAATAATATTACTCGTTATTGTTCTTTTTAAATTCAAAATAATGTTCAGTAAATATAACCACTGGGGGATATACTACGTCAGGCTCGCTCCGCATTACACTGGATAAAACGATCTACTACGTCAGGCTTGCTCCTACGTCTCTCCTTATGACCTATATATATTACATAAAAATAAATAAAGCTACGTCAAGTTAAAAATTCAACCACTTTTACTTGTTCATTCTGACATCAAATCATAAGCTAGCTAACTGCTCTTAACTGAACCGTCTTCAGGTGTATATCCGACTTTTACATCGTCATTCTGCTACTGTTGCGCATTCTAAATATATACTTCACTGTGTATATAAATTATTGTGAATTCTATCCTTCGCAAGGCATGGAGCCACGGTTGCTCAGTGATAATGGCGCTGGTCCAATAACTAGTAGGGTCGACTCCGGGGTGTTTGAGAAAATTTCTAGGGAATTTCCAGTCCAGACCCCCCCCCCCCCCCATCAGTCACTCAGGACGGGTAATAAAGGAAAGGGCAGCGAATGAAATATAATGCCTCGTCAACACAGGTCACGCCAACGTCAGCGATTTTGGACAGTGGAATAAAGGAAAAGGAACCGAATGGGATTTAATACTTCGTCAGTTTATCCTGTGGCTTGGTACGTGACAAGGAGTAACGTGGTGTGGCATCGATCCCACACTTGTACGTTACAACGAGTAGGTCGCCTGGCTAACCTCGTTGGTTTTCTCCAGGCCCACGATTCCCCCAGTTTCCTCTATAACTGCCAACAACCAATATGGCCATGCGAAATACCGGGTTTGTCTTGAGTAGACTCTCATTCTTTATATATTGAAATTCAAATACCTATGCAGGTTGCAGTGATATTGTAAATAGTCATGGACACTTGACATGCTTTGAGAGTATGTTCACAGATGAAGAACTTATCGCCCCAACAGAACCACTGAGCTGCACAGGCGACACGCAATAGGGCCAAACACGTGGGAGGGGTTCATTGTCAAATTTGACACTTCAAGGAAGGGTTGATGAAAACTGCCGCTTGCTGGTTTATCCTATCCAGATTTACTGTTTAGCGTATGTTTGCTTTAGTGTGTTACTTTTAATTTGATCGGGAAACATATACTGGTTACCTTTAATAAAATCAGCAGTCCATTTCCGCAGTTGTGTATTGTTTCTGAATATCCCCTACTTTTAAGAGTATATATAATATCTTTATTAAACATACATTATGCAAGAACTAAATCTGCCTATTGCAGGCCTTTCTTTAGAACTGAAATGTTATCTAAATTATTAATTAGATATTAATTAACTTATCCTGATCATAATCGCTAGCCTGCGATATATATTGGATTAGGATCCGATTTGCTGCTCAACTTCCATTAATGTTTTTTATCGTACCGATAGTAATGATGATAGAGGCTAGACTAAAAATTCAATCGCTAAATTCTCGGTTCAGAGTGGATCAATTTGACTGAAATGTTCAGCAAATTTACTTTACATTATCTAGTTTTTGATTATTATAGTGAGAACTGCCACCTTTTTTATCTAATAATATCTCCCAGGATGTATCTTAAAGATTACAGTGTAATTAATTACATAGATGTGGACTGTTAACAACTGTAAACGAAATGAAATGAAATGGGGTTTAACGTCCTACTGGTTTTGTCCAACCTCGTGGGTTTTCTCCGGGTCCTCCGGTTTCCTCCCACTGCTAAAGACTCCTATGCGCAAGCGAATTATTGAAATAAAATTAAACCATGTTAGTCCCGAAATGACCTAGTTTGTGTCGAGTGGACGTTAAATCCCATTTCTCTCTCTCTCTCTCCCCCTACTGTTTTGCTCCGAACTGGCTAATGAAGACGGGCATATAAATTATTTATTATATTATTATTATAAGAACACTTATATAGCGCTGTTTTCACTATAGTGCTCAATAGCGCTTTACAATTAAATACAAAACCATAAGTATACATTTCGAAACTAAATACACATAAAATACGTAAATAGTTACCAATTTAAAACAAAATACTAGAAAAACTGGTAAAACAAAAATGTATATAAAAAGTACGCAAGAAATGGTGTGGGTATAATTAAAGTTCCTATATCCAGTGACTTGAACATAACAAAACCTAGCCCGTGTAACTATAGATACCCTAGAACAGGAAAATAGGCAACCAAGAGTAGGAATAAACTTTAAAATATTAATAATAAAATGTAGCTCACGTAACTAAGCATAACCTAGGGTAGGAATAAAGTTTGAAATATTTATAAAAAAAATGTAGCTTGTGTAACTAAGTATAGGAATAGACTTCAAATTATTAATAATAAATTGTAGCTAATGTATCTAAGCATACCCAAGGGTAGACAAAACGATTGACGTTGTCGTAAAGCTTGTCCATTACTCATGTTATTCAGATCCACCGGTAAAATATATATTTCGCCATCTTGATTCAAAGTTTATTCTCTACAGAGGAACGATTCAGGGACGTATGTTCTGTTACCAGGACATTGGGTAACATACATTGTATTGGGTTCAACACAAATTATAAACTTCTTGGGATCAAGGTCGTTTATGTGTAGACGATTGTTGTTATCTGTCAAATCAACACCCGGTTCACACGGATTCGGAACACCCAACCATGAATCTGAAGAGATGAATTAAATATTAAGGTATCACTCTGACATTAATGTACACATGTGAACTGCTGTTTTAAACAATTTACATATATGGATATAAGGATATAAGAACCAACAAAATAGAATAGTGTTTGACACCCTACTATAGTGCCCCAACCGGGTTAATGGCGGTGTGCTATGAAGAACATTTTGCACGGACTGCGGCGCTACGGCTTAAGGTCCGTTCATACTACATCCGTATCCGTATCTGTAAATACGTGCGTGAATACGTACTGGTATACTTTAGTCATTTTTAGGGAAAGGATTGGTTACTCCCAGAGCGTATTTTTATAAAGTGCGTCCGGCATTTCGGCTAGTGAGCCGAGCTTTAGCCAATCAGCGAGTACTTTCCCCTTATTACATCATCTCCCCAAATAGAAACTCAATCTCTGACAGACAATTCAGCCTTGAAAGCCGGACGTTTTCGCGTTTTCTATTTGAACGGCAAAACGCGCATACGGATGCGGATACGAATGCGGGTACGGATACGTTTATGGATACGGATGTAGTATGAACCGAGCTTAACTCTTAGTTTGAATTCCTGCTGTCAATGGTTATTTAACCTGCACGCCGATATGTTGATGGGACCTCGGTTGTTCATCCCACTAGAACGACTAGACGCTGTAAGTGCCAGGCACTCCATCCTTCATGTACGTGCCAGGCGTTCCGTCCTTCGTGTACGTGCCAGGCGTTCCGTCCTTCGTGTATGTGCGAGGCAGTCCGTATTTCATGTACGTGCCAGGCAGTCCGTACTTCATGTATGCGCCAGGCACTCCATCCTTCATGTTCGTGTCAAGTATCCCGTCCTTCATGTACGTGACAGGCACTTCGTTCTTCATGTACACTAGTCGTTGGTCTGCATGTAAATGAAACATTGTCAATTAGAATTCGAAGAGAGAATAGACTTGCGCGTAAGTGGACAGGGTTGGACAGACAACCCATCTCTTTGTCACGTACAACCAGGGAATCAAAACCACGCCAGTTGATTCAATTTCAAATCTTGTGATACAACGCGCACGCGCTAACCATTCGGCCATCCAACACCCGCCCCCACCCTGAATTTGAAAAAGAGTAGGCGCAAACGTCGCTGCCTGGCCCTCGATTTGGTTTACTCCATTTTTTATGCCCGCTTGCACCGACCCGGTTGGTAGAAAAATGTAGGACATCAAACCCCATTTCAATTATTTCTTAAAGATACATTATGGGAGATTAGATAACGAGTTGGCAGTTCTCACTATAATAGTTAAAAACTACATAATGTAAAGGCAACTTGCTGAAAATTTCAGTCAAATTGATCCACTATGAACCGAGAACCGAGCGGATGAAAGTTCCGCTTAGCCTCGATCATCATTACTGAAGACGATAAGACAAATCTAATAGTCTTGATTATCCATTTAATCGTTAATCACGAAGGAAATTTTTGCAGCAAATCGGAATGTAATCCAACAAATATCGCAGGCTAGTATAACCATCTAGAGTTGATTATGGTCTGGATAAGTTAATTAATGTCTAATTAATAGTTTTTATAACATTTCAGGCCTAAAGAAAGACCTACAATAGGCCGATTTTGCTCTTGCATAATGTATGTTTAATATATAAATATACGTATGGCAAATAAACATAGAAATAATATTACATGGTTTATATATAGTGTTCTCATATTCTGCTACCGGAATTTGGTTAAATGACAATAGCTTGTAAATTGTACAACAATTGGAGCTTGTGAATTGTACAACAATACCATGTTTGAAATATGATAGTAGTGTTGTATACAATTTGCTTAAATGGAGTGTGTGAATTGTGTAACAAATGAAGCTTGGGAATTGGAGCTTTTGAACTATGGAACAATTGTAGCTTGGGAATTGTACAACAATTGTAGCTTGGGAACTGTACAACAATCGGAACTTTTGAATTGTGCAACAATTGGAGTTTGTGAATTGTACAATAATTGGAGCTTATGACTTGTTCATCAATTATGTCTTAAATACATATACGTATCGCAAATAAACATTTGGTTAAATGATAACAGCCTGTGAATTGTACAACAATTGGAGCTTATGAATTGTTCATCAATACCATGTTTGAAATGAGATAACAGTGCTGTATATAATGTAAAGGATAATACCTTTTGACACGAACGAGCTATACTGACTGGTCTGGACATCAAATAAAGTACAGTTCTGTAATTTGTTGCCCTTTTTACAAGTCAGCTCAGCTCCTGAAATAGAAGTCCAGGTAGTGATTAAACAAAATACAAAATACACGACTAGTCCCGGTCCTGAAAATACACACGTACGGTATACAAGAGTAGCACAGGTCGTACAAAAACAGAAGTACGAAATACAAGACAAGACCGGGTCCTACGAAAACACGACTATGAAATACAAGATAAGACCGAGTCCTAAAAAAACACAAGTACAAAACTGAAGAATGGTGTAATAGAAGCCCCCTAAGAGTAAATTTGTAACATTAATATAGTCATTGTCTCTTTTTGCATTTTTTTCAGTATGACCAAGTATGTTCATATTCTGATCTAGGAACGACTGAGCGTGTTTTAATTTATGTTATCTGCCAGGTTTTGGTGAAGATTAATGATTTGTGAGACGGTAACAGAGTTATCCCCCTTTATGCAGAAGAAACAGCAGATAATCGGTAACAGAGTTATCCCTCTTTATGCAGAAGAAACAGCAGATAATCGCATGATATTTGGTCTTGAGCGCGTATGGGTCTTGAGCTGTGGGAAGAAACAGTTGGGAATCGAAACCACGCCACTTGACTCAATTACAGACTGTGTTAATGCACTACACCCCCCTCTCTCAACAAACAACGTAACACAAAAGAGTTTCTGTTACGGAGGCTCAGTGAGTAACATGTTGGTTCACTAACAAGGTGGTCTAAGGTTCGTTCCTAATTGTCAGTGGTGCAAGACGGAAGGCCTGACAAGGACTGAGTCTAGTCGTTCGGAGGGATGAAAAACCGAAGTCCCGTCAACATATCAGCGTGCATGTAAAATGACCACTTACAGTTGAAATTCGAAATAAAAGTAGGTCGTTATAGTGCCACTTTCCGGGCAAAATTGGCCCCATAGCACACTGTATAGCGTATGCCCGTCTTCATTAGCCCAGTCGGTGAAGATCAGTAGCTTACATTTAATTTCCTGTTATGAAAATAATTCGTTCATATGGTGGACAGCATGGCCTTCGATATTTTGTATCATCAAACATCAACTTACCCTTGCCCTGCATTGCGTTTTGGAAAGCTCTTGCTACATTATATAAACTATTGACCGCCTCCAACGTCTCTTCAGGTAGCGGGCTGGATCTAGGGGCGGCGATTGTTCCAGATACCAAAGGTACACCAAGGTCTGTGGGTAACACATTATTATCACCACACGTGGACCTGTCGTGATGGTATTCTTCTCCATTTGGACATTGTATGACATACATATTGCCATCAACATCACATTTGAGAAATTTGGTAGAGTCGCGAGGATTTGGATGAATAGCTTTGGTCTGATCGGAAACATCAACTCCTCTGTAACAAGGATTCACAACATCCACCACTTCACCTAGTGGAACAAGTTAAAGATACATTAGTTAAGAGTTTAATAACGAGTTGATCATGGTTACTATAATAATTCAAAAATAGATGATAAAAAAAGAACATTCACTACTTAACCTAGTGGAACAAGTTAAAGATACATTAGTTAAGAGTTTAATAATGAGTTGATCATGATTACTATAATATACTATTCAAAAAAAGTAGGGGATATTTGATTTTGGGGGCATAATACTAAAATATGCAAATGACTACGAAAAAAGTCACTATAGAACCTAACAGAAGAAACATTTCCAGTTACATGTGACGCCCAAACGCACCAATAGCTACCGCATGGAATGCAGGTGATGCTTGGGGTCATCATGGGGGTCCAACCCAAGATTTGCACGACTCTGACTTTGAATGTTACAGTCATTGTGGCATTGAATTCCAGGGTGGAAACATCAGTTTAATTGTTTTAGTGACCAGAAAACAAATTTTGATATGCGTCGGCTTACCCAAAATGAAAGGTTACGTGCCCTTGGCATGCTACAGATCGGCACAATACAGGCGGTTGTGGCGCGGACGATGAATGTTTCTCAGTCTGTCATAAGCAGGCTATGGTCCAGATACCACGATACACAATCTGTACAGGATAGACCACGCTCAGGTCGACCAAGGGCGACAACGCAAGCCCAGGATCGATTTATCCGTACCATGGCCTTGAGAAATCGTGTCATCACAGCAAATCAGATCAGCGCTCGTCTTCAAACAGACACTGGTGTGAGAGTGAGTGGCCAGACGATTCGGAATCGACTGCATAGGGGTCACCTTCGCGCCCGACGTCCTCGCGTGATCCCTTGTTTGAGAGATCATCACATTCAGGCAAGACGTCGTTGGTGTAGGGATCGTCAACACTGGGATAATCGACGCTGGAGCAATGTGATGTTTTCAGATGAGTCAAGGTTCACTGTTGATTTTTTGGACAGACGTAGGAGGGTGTGGCGTCGTCGAAACGAGCGCTTCCAAGACGTTAACGTCATCAGACATGATCGATTTGGGGGTGGTTCTGTTATGGTGTGGGGAGGCATCACTGTTGCTGGAAGAACGGCTTTACATGTTGTTGCAGGGCGTGTTACAGGCCAGTACTACCGGGACAACATCTTGGCAGTCCATGTTGTGCCGTTCGCACGACGTCATGGACGTCGTTTCATCTTCCAGGATGACAACGCAAGATGTCACAGGGCCAGGATCGTTACAGGTTACCTCCAACAACAGAACATCACCACATTACCTTGGCCAGCACTGAGTCCCGACCTCTCCCCCATCGAGCATGTCTGGGACATGCTTGGACAGAGGTTACGTCAACGTCAACAACGTCCTGCCAATGTCCAAGAACTTGCTGCTGCGTTGCAACAGGAATGGGACAATCTGGACCAAAATGACCTTAGACGTCTCATTAGGAGTATGCCACGTCGGATCAATGCTTGTTTGGCAAACAGAGGAGGATTTACCCGTTACTGACTTGGTTGTGATGCTGTGGTAACTTTGCTGTTTGACCCCGGGTATCATTTTACCCTTATAATGGTCAGTCTGTGCCTTACTTAGTCTAACGATCATTTGGAATAAATCGATGAATGTGAACTTCATTTCATTTTGTCATTTGTTTCTTCGTCAGTTTCATTAGGTGACTTTAATAACACTTAAAAATCAAATATCCCCTACTTTTTTTGAATAGTATAATTCAAAAATAGATGATAAAAAGAGAACATTCACTACTTAACCTAGTGGAACAAATTAAATGGAGCGTATCAACACAAATTGTAACACCAAAATATCGCCGTCAAATGGCCATGAATGTGCCTCGGGTCCCGGGGTCAGAATATAACAAGTAACTTACTCAGTTTGATAAGAAATGAACCAAACTGAGCAAACTTAAAAGAGCAAACGGCACGCAATATCCAAGGATGATATATTGCTCGAACGGCGTTATTTTACGTTCACGCCAACGTGCACTGACAAGAGAAAACTAGTCTTGGAAAATCCGGATTGTCTCCGCCAAAACTGGAATGGAAACCGAGACCACCAGGCTAGTGAGTCAGTGACATCCATACTTACTGAAAAACCGTGACTCCCCTTCCCCTATGCACACAACTACAGCTGTCTCGCCGTTCGGATGGGACGGAAAACCGAGGTCCCGTGTACACATTGGCATGCACGTAAAAGATCCCTTGGCAGGTGGAATGCGACATAAGAGTAGACCGGAGCAGAACAGTACGACGTTAAAACCTATTTCATTTCATTCCCTCTATGCACAGTAGTAATCATAATCAACATTACACAATTCCTTGTACCTGTATGGATCCACATGGGTTAGGGTCAAGGTTGGTTGGTGTAAATTCCTAAATATTTTATAAGCTTTGATATCGTGTGTGTATTCTAAAACAACAAAATCCTAAGCACATCTTTAATAGAAGGCTTAATCTCGCTTTAACACTGTACATCTTATCAAGACCACTTAATACCCTGCACATTTGGGCACTACTTTCTATTAACCCAGCTGGTGACCTATCCGATCATCGCGAATACCAAATCTCCAGCTAAAATGTGTACCCGTGATAAACGAGTTGCAATGTTCAAGGTTCGTTCAATGTCAGGGTTTCCGTGGTGGTCGCCATGTTAGATTTAAGTATGCTTGTGTCACAACCTCTGATTAGACGCTATTGTGCACGTGTCGGCCTTAAAGGTATATAACGTAGCTATTAGTTCGGGAATTGCAGCCTAGCAACGTCTATATGGCGTAAAACTCGCTGTCGTTGCCTCACTAACATGCACTAAGCAGTACTTTTTGCTGTGATTCTTATTTGTGCACAAAGTCTCTAGATACCCCACCCAATCAACTAAAAATAACATATATTGACATACTCTTTGGAGTGTATTTGCTAAATTGACTTGATTGGAAATCTAGAGGAGTACACTCCCTTTCTATGTCACCGTCTTTACAAGTTACATCAGCACCTACAAGAGAAAAGTACACGCTTCAAACAACACGCAAAGGCATTTAGCGATTGAATACAATAAAACCACAGCACCATTATATGAAAAGCAATCACTGGTTTGGACAAAATATTCACCCTGGACCAGTAGACAACATTTAATAAACAGAGTGCAACAAAAAGGTATACTAAAAGTTGTTAGCCATACAGTTGCTCTAGCGGAATCGGGTTCGATCCCGTTGTTGGGCGAGAGAGTTTCTAAGGATTTTCTGCAACATTTCCCTAACAGCACAGTGCATGGCATATACAAGTCTTCATTACCCTTGTTGATGCAGGAAAGTAGGATGCCAAAAACCATTCAATTTATTTTCTTTGTTTTAATAGTGTTATATTCGTACACACCTGCCTTTGTGTTAATAGTGCAATACTGGTACTTACCTCCCTTTGTTTTAATAGTGTGATACTAGTATTTACCTCCCTTTGTTTTAATATTGTGATACTGGTACTTACCAGGTTTTTTACCCTGTATAATCTTTGTGTTTATAGCAGGATTATCACAATCTACAGCAGTCTTGGTGGCAGTCGGGTTATATTTTTTACCCTCGTAAGTGATATACAGAGGTCGGTCACTTTCATCTTTTATCGTCATCACTGATGGTGATCCTGCTAGCGCTACATCACTATAAGAATAGAGAGCAGCGCTTGGATGAGTCGAGTCATAGGACGCATATATATACACCACACTACACGATACGTCTGTCTGTAATAATAATAATAATAATAATAATAACAGTTTTAATAATAACAGTTAACAGTTTTAATAATAATAGTTTTAATAATAACAGTAATAATAATATAATGTTGTCCTAGTAATAACTTTGCTAGTTTTTATACAACCACCACACACTTATACATTAATTCTAATATCTAGTAATGTGTATTGTTGACAATATAACTACAACTTTCATCATCATCATCATCATCGATGGATGCACAACGCCACATCGGTTGCTATGGCAGGGGTGGCGCCTGTGCGGTTGACAAGGGAAGTGTGCTTAATTGGGACAATAGTACGACAAATCGGGTGCACGTAAAACACCTCGTGGTAGTTGGGATTTAAAGTTGAGTTCACCACCCTCTCCCGGCATTGGACACGTAATAAACATGACCATATATTAGTCTAAAAATGACCAAAGATATTGTGTTGGCGATATTATTCCTTTATATTTCAAGCAAAGGCAGATGCAAAATATACTGACTGTAACTTACAATAAGGGTTGTAGTATTAGTGGAATTAGCCGAAGAATTTGTGGGTGGTGCTGGAATGATTAAGTTTACTGTTGTTTCATTCCCTGTAAAAGGTATATGCTTTTCTATTTCTCCAGAATCATCTCCAGGTTCGCGTTCAACTACTAGTAGAGCTATGAAAACATTTATTACATATTATACAGTAGGGATGATATATTACTATGTGGTTGATGATAGATATATTTGTAAATCGGAGAGACGTGATAGATTACGTAACCATCGACGGGATTGTAGCGTCGAAAATGTGCAATATTTGTCAATAATCACATCTTTAGATATACTAATAAGATTTCAAATTTTCCGTTTTATCAAATGAAAGTCGATGACACAACAAAGAGAAATATTACGGAAACCCATATTATTAAAAAATACGTTCCTCGACGTCAATAAGTAAAAATGGTCCATTAATTTTCTGTATCTATCCCGAGATTGTGTCACATCTACTGTTCCTAAATTATTCCCTTTGCAACAGATTGCAACGTATGCACATGCTCTCTGTTAATTACCTATGCACTAGATAGAGGACCAATGCATTGAAGTTAGATGTCCTTTTCCCGAGACTCAATGGCTTTTTCTTGGACTCGTTGGCCCTGTCCGTGGATCGATATGCAGGTCCATATCTCCCGTCAAAAGGCAAAACCTAGTAACTCACTTTTTTTTTTATCAAAATTGAGTTAGTCAGAACTAACAATTAATATGTTCAGTTTTATTTAAATAATTCGCTAACCCGTAGAACGCTTGGGAGTAGTGGGGGGGGGGGTCTGCGAACCTGGATAAGATCCAACAAAGTTGTACAACTGACCCTACTCCTTGTCAGGTACGAATTAGGAATCCAAAAACCACGCCACTTGAATCATTGACTGGCCTAATAATCTATATAAATTAATAACACCTTACCTTGACATGCACGTTTCTGTATCGCGTTAATTATGGTCTCGACTTCAGAAAAATCTTTCAAAATGAAAACATGGGTACAATCAGGATCGGATGAGATGGCCTGTAATTCGTTTTCATTTATTCCATCCCCAACACCAATAGCGAAGACTGTTACTCCTTTAGATTTTAATAATTGGGAGGCTTCTTCTGTGGCCATTTGATCATTAGAATGTCCATCAGTTAGTACCAACGCTACCTTTGCAGAGTGATTTCTCATTCCATTTTCGGCAACAAATACCTGATTTGCAGCCAGATTTAGTCCGGTAGCTGTATTGGTACTACCACCTCCGTAAGCTATTCCACCAATAGCCCGTTTTAAGCTTCCCTCAGTAGAATGGTCATTCAAATAGAACTCTATCTGGGCACTAGAACTGAACTGGACGGCAGCTGCTTGGGTTCCCTCCGGACTGATAAACAAACGGTTTGTGACTTCTATCATAAATTGCCGAGTTATGTCGAAGTTGAGAGGTCCAATGCTGCCGGAGCCATCAATAAGAAACGCTAAATCTATCGCTTTCTGACAAACATCTACAGGGTAAAATAATCCATACTTTATATAAAATATATTTTAATGTTAATATGAAAATAAAAAAGTTTAATATAAAATATTGTTTGCCCTGTCTACTTGTATTGCCTTAAGGTTGTTAAGCAGCCGAAAATGCACATTTTAAAGCTAGTACTGTATTTATTGTTCATAAGATATACCAATTTGTGTTACTTGGGGTGATAAACTACATATTAATCACCAAAAATATGCCAATTTCATTTGCCAACTATGATCATAAAGGGTACTGATGTTTAACAAAAGTGGAATTTTCTCAGTTATGCCTGCATGGATTTACATCAAATTTGGCATGAACAATGCTAATTCCAATTCCAAACAAGTCACAGAACAATGTGGTTTATCTGGTATCCATGGACAAGGCGAGTTTTCTTTTAAATTCTACTAGTGCATGCTACACAGAGATATCGATTATCTCCTCTGTAAAACGATTGTAGAGGTTTTAAGCGTTATAAAACATTAACTCAAAATATTTTAAAATCTATTTACCTTCAAACGAAATTTTGTGAATTTCCGGTAAATTCTTTGAATACGTCCACAAGAAGTTTTAAAATACAACAGTAAGGGTGTAAAAGGTAAATATTTACTTCAGTTCACTACCCTGCCCCTCTCAAAATCATTTTATACATTCAAAAATGGTAGTTTTGGACCATCAAAAAATGAAATTCAGCATGTTCCAGTCGCGATAGATAGTAGACGTGGATAATCGCGTCTTAGGGGGAATTCCTTCTGACGTCATATATAGATAGACGACAATGATTCTGTGTGAAACTACCGCTGGGGGCGGCCATGATTGTTTATTGCGGAAGATGTGGGCGGTGTGTACAAAGTCATAATTTATTCAAGATAAGATCTAGGTCAGGGGAACCTTCTCGTTTGCTATAAATAGTATTTGTCTTTCCGCGTGTATCTCCATTATTACACAATAAATGATCGGACTGTTCTATTGCACTTTAAACTGACTTTCCTTTCATTGTTTGGGTATATTTGAATAAAAATCTCCTGCCAGAACTGTTAAATATTATTGTAGGGTTCACGCTTAAAAACAAATTGGTTTTAAAATCAATTTTGGTTGTTAAATCATCTTTAAATCAGACAATGCTGCCTGGGTTCCAAAAAAAGCACCCCGAATAGTGTGAAACGGAATTCACGTAGGTTCAGAGTTTAAATTGTTGCTTTTGCCAGATAATTCGCAGGCTCAAGACTCCGTAATCAGGAGAACTCAGTGGTAGCCGAGAAGGTCAATGTCTCATATGCACGAAAACCAACCGTTGACAGTGCAGCTCAGGATGAAACGCCTCCATACAGGCAACATTCACTTTCCAGAACTCTGCATGACGTATGCCCGTCTTCATTAACCCGGTTTCTGCAGCGCAGAAAAGTCACGCGGTAAAACCCATTTTAGTTTATTTGTCAGATAATTCATTACTTACCATTATTTGCTTCAATAGTATTTAGAAAGGACGCCGTGGCCTCATCCGGAGCAAACAAAGTCTTCCAGATCAGCGACTGGTGAGTCCGACTTCCTGATATTCCGTCTGGGGTGTTCGATGATATGTTATTTTTATACATGACGTACAGTGAAGCAGCCAGGCCGGAATATAACGGTTTACGTAAATCTCTCCACGTGGTACTCTGCCAGTTGATTTCCAGCCTGGTTTCAATATTTTCACAAACATTTTCTAGAATACCAGGACAGGTCTGTGTTTGGTGGTACTTGTCCTCGTCAATCTAAAGGAAGTAAATTAATATACATGAAAGCCTACTGATTTTTTTTGTATCCAAAACCAACAATCTAAAATGAGTTTTAAAAATAGGATCTTGAATAAATTCATATTCTCTGTCCAGGACGCTTAACTTTGTTTGGAAGATACCTTGGAAGTATAAATATAAAAAATGGTATAAATTGTATATGTGATAAAAGAGGCGCCCAGAGTAACCGAAAAACCTCCAACAGGGGGTATTATTTCGGAATGATAATAGAACGAATATTTTCACACACGGTACTTTGATTGAGTCACGTAAATATTTGATTTCAAGGGAACACAAAGATAAAGGGGGGCTATATTATTTACAATTTCATAAAAGATTATTAAATGATGAGCCTGACATCGCACTGATAAAGATAAGAATACGGATTCTGTATAAATTGTACCGTGGGAGGTTCCACGAGGCAGGCCAGTTATCGTCCAGAACGCGTCTAGGTTGAGTTTTTCTAACTTTTGTGAATTTAATTTCAGACTATATCAACATAATCCAATATGGACAGAATAAAAGAATTATACAAAATACTTAATGATTTACGCGATAGATTAAATTTTAAACTTCTCAGACAGTCGAACATGATTGAGGTTATGTTAATTAAAACATGCATGTAATATCGTTCAGGGTGTTGGGGAATTATCTACGAAATCACATCTGCGAATAATCTTCATTTGTTATATCGCTAATAAAAATTATAAAAAGAAGCCGTCCCAGTACGGACCACAGGGGTGGGTAGAAATAAATAAGTACCGAAGCTCATTCCTGCCTTCGCATTAAAGATGCATTATATAAGATTTAGATAAAGAGTTGGTCGATCTTGTTATAAAAAGGTACGAAATAGGTAATGCAAAATTAACATATTGATAATATCGATCAAAGTACGTTATTCTGAGCAAATTTATCACTGTTTGAAGTTTTTAATAAAATGATTTAATTGCGATTGTTTTTAAAATCAGTCTAAACCTCCGCCATCCGTTGGTCTAGAGAGATGATTATATGCTTGTCGTGAATAAATTAATAGTTTATAATTATAACATTCGAGTCCAAAATAGGTGGATTTAGCTCTTACGTAATGCATCAATAATTAAGTGAGTATACCGCAAGTAAAAAGATTGTATAGACTCAGTCTAAATATTGCTACTTCCTGTGAATGTGCACATTTACATTTTACCCAGTTTCTTACCCAGTAAGAAGTGATGTTTGTACTATGAGGGTTCTATTCTTTTTAATTAAAAAAAACCATTTAAAATATCAAAATGATAACTGTCATCGTGTGGAACTCTAATTTCCTCCAAAGTAAATTACCAGGCAGGTGCCCATTTAATTATATACAGGTAACATACCTGCCAGATTCCACCATGATAACCATCTCTATAAGTTTTAGAATCTTCACCATCGTTTGATTGGACCAGAGCTAAACGTCTTAAAAACAAGCGATCCGAGGCAAATATACAATGGCTTCTAATGGCGTCAACCACAGCCTGAACGACAGGTTCACCCTTTGCATTTTCCTGTATGGTTAAATCTGCCTGTGACTGAGTGTCCTCAACATTCGCCAGTAAAATGAGGATAAACAACGCGTACTTCTTCATATTCGGTCACCTGAAATATACTGTAGTCTTAAAAAAGTAGGGAATATTCATAAACAATACAACACTGCGGAAATGCACTGCTGTTTTTTATTAGGCGCTCCAGGTCGGGGGATCGATCGGCAACTCTTCCAATGGCGAAAAAACGTTGTATAAGGCGAGCAATGGTCGATGGGTGGACATTAAAGTGTCTTGCGGCAGCAACCTGTGAAAACACTGATCCAGCATGCCAATAGCTCTGTTCCTGTTTTCTTGTGTAAGGCGTGGCATTTTTCCGAAGTGATGAATGTTGAAATTTTGATCTGTATTTAAAGGGCCAGAGTACAGGGAATGCACGGGCAAAACGTGTGACATGGGACTGCTTAAAATTGTGAAAGATAAGTGTTGAGTTTGCACGAACAAAGTTCATTACCGAGAACTGATATTGGGTTCAACCCCAGAACTCCACAAAAAGAGATCCATCACAAGTTTCGCCTATGTGCCATAAGATAGGAAAGGCCAAGAAAACTTTTACCAGAAATATTTCACGAATTAAGCATTGCCTCTTTAATGGCCTTGAGAGTATTATGATCTGTAAACAGGCTCAGACAACCATCAAATGTTAGGAAATTACTTTCTTCGTCAATATTCCCCCTCATTAACAAACACCCACTGTTACAAAATGCAATGATTGTTTTACATGTAATGATATTATTGAAGGGCCCTCATTTAAGATAAAACTAATACCGAGATATTTACAATAAATCAATCAATTAACTGCCAAATTCAAATATATCATTTATTGAATGATTTGTCATGGGTATATCGAAAAACCTATGAAACAATTAAACCATCGAATGAACCCACTAATAGCCAATCCAGAAAGCATAATGATACCACTGAGTACGCATTTGGATGAATATGGTGGGGTAAAATGACCTCCTCTCTCTCTCTCAGATTGTTTTTGGCGCTAGGAATATGTTTGCTAACTTCATTTCGAATCCTGGTGCTGAGATAGGAGTTAAAGTTTCCGCGCGGTAATATCTGCATGGGCCTGGCGTGGGATAGGCAGGGGTGGACTGAGACGGGCCCTGCGAGTATGGTAGACTCGGGGGCTAGGGGCGGAATGAGAAGGAATCTGTGAGTATTATAGTAGGGTGAATTTGGACTCAATAGTAAATGTTTAATACGTCCAGCTAATCAACACAGTATTACTCAGTTCAGTAAATTATATTTTAATTGATCTTAATCCACCTTAATTAGCCCCCATTTATATCTACTTCATATTGTCTTATATATTTCATTAATCACCTGTCTTTGTTTTAAACTTTAAACATGCATTGTGCAAGAGCAAAATCTGCTTATTACAAGTCTTTCTTTAGGCCTGAAATGTTATCTAAATTATCAATTAGACATCAATTAACTTATCCAGACCATAATAAACTCTCGATGTCAAGGCTAGCCTTCGATGTTGGCTGGATTAAATTCCTATATGCCGCTAACGGCCGTTGATAATTAAATCAAGAAAAGCGGATAATCGGGACTTGCTGTTAATATTAATCATTTTAGTAATGATGACCGAGACTATGCCAAAATTTCACGAGCTTCTATCTCGGCTCATGGTGGATCAATTTGACTGAAATTTTCAGCAAATGACCTTTACACAATCTAGTTTTTAACTATTATAGCGAGAACTGCCATCTTGTTACCTTATCTCCCATAATGTATCTTTAAATTGAGCTTATAAATTATAATTAACCTCTACGGGCTATAGTGTTTAGTTACCCGGCATCTCCACATAATCATCATAATAATCATTTTGTATAGCGCTGAGTGCCCCAGCTAACACACCAAAAGTACACTTTTACAAATGGTGGAGATGCCGGGTAACTAAACACTATAGCCCGTAGAGGTTAATTATAATTTATAAGCTCAATTTAAAGTGTAAAACAAAGAATACCGGAGACAGCTAGGTGATTAATGAAATATATAAGACAATATGAAGTAGATAAACATGGGGGTAATTAAGGGGGATTAAGATCCATTAAAATAAAATTAACTGAATTTAGTAATACTGTAGCAAATGTTTAATACGTCGTGCTAATCCGACCCAATGAGTGTGGTAGGCTCGAGGACCCCAAGAAACATAGCTTACATAGCTTAATGGTCATTTTTAGTCTTGAATTTAGATCGTCTTTGATAAATTGGTAAGACTAAAAAAATACGGATATGCTCTAGAAAAGCACAAGTTAGTTCTCGAGCGAGTTATTAGTCTAATAAATTGATCATGTATAACATTGAAATCAGTATAATTATTAGTCTAATTAATTGATCTGTACATAAACCATTTCAATAATTATAGTTATTAGCCTAATTAATTGATCTATTCATAGCATTTAAATAATTATAGATTTTTTCTTACCTATTCTCACAGTCGTTACCAATATATTAATGGTCGTAATTGCAATTAACCCTTTTATAAGGAAACTATAACATTTGGGAGGGGTGAATGGTACAAAGATCCCATTGGACGAATCTAGCATTATGGGTTTGATCAATGGTATATAGCGATTCCATTGGACAAATAATATTACTATGAATTACATGTCAATTGTCAGACATATTATAGCCACTTATACCTACTTCATGCAAATGTATGTATGTCCGAAAACTCATGTTTCTAATATATTAGTCGTTACAAATATTAAAGTAGTACTATTTTAGGAAATTAGCATTCCGTGATTAAGTTCAGGTCATTGAAGTATAAATCAAGTATGTGAGTATGCAAAACCCCGTGTATTTGGTTCAATGAGACCAATTTGGCGCAAAGCCGGGCGTAGCGATCTGAATAATTTTTCGATTTTTTCTAGCGATAAATCTCCGAAGAAAAAATCCCGACAAACTCCACTAAAAAGTGAAATTTACTGTATGTTACACATTTATAGGTGTAAAAATGATTTCTCCCAAAGGCAGAATATTTCCGACAAAGGAATGTAAGATAAGAAAGACGAAGTATACGTTTCATGTTTATTATAAAGGATGTGAAATGTAGACGCTTGGTGTGTTTAACATAACTTGCACATGTCGTGATGAGATATATCGTGAAAGACAATTCAACTTGATATTTATCGCTTTATGTATAGGGATCAACGGTGGCTTAGTGGGTAAGACGCTAGCTCACATGTTTGATCACTGCATAGGCCGAGAAAAGTTCATCGAGTTTTTTTTCCGGCGTGGTTTCCCCTTGTCAGTGGTGCAGAACGGAGGACCTGACAAGGATAGCTGTCTACTCGTTCGGATGGGACGAAAACCGAGGACATACCAAATACGTTTTAGTTCTATTGATGATAATAATCAGATGTATACGATTTTGACAGAAAATTTTAAGCAAGCAAACAAATGGATAAACAAAAATCCTGACCCTTATCCATTATACGGCAAAATATCAAAAAGACATTTTTTTCATCACTATTCGTTTATTTTTTTTTTTTTTTTTTGTGCACACTTGGAAGCTCGACATCATTGTAGCGTTCTACAGGCCCGGACTAGCTAGGCACTGAGCACCTGCTTTGGCCCGGATACCCTGACAGTCATGGGAGCCTCAAACGGAACAAGGATGGTTCGCGGTCCCATGTGGACGTATATTGTCGTGGATTGCATCTGACAGTAATTTCATGGATTATTTCCCCGCATTGTACGAAATTTTTATCCGATTTTGATGAAATTTGAAATTTTTGTTTATTACCCAACGATCTCGGTTCCGTTCAATATCGGACCGTAACTCCCTAGATTATGGGCCACGATTGTTAGAGAAAGTGCCTTTTTAGCTTTTGGTCCCTCTAGCGGACACAATTGTTATCCGATTAAAAAAAAACCTTCAAATATATCACCGTTACAACATACTGATAGTTGAGTTTGAATTCCGTGACATAACCAGACAAAATGACCGCTCCCTGTTTGCAGATAGTGTTAAAGTATGTAGTATCAAGGTTGTGGACCATCTAAAAGTCACAATTTCGATACGATTTTGATGAAACTTAAAACGTGTGTTTATATCCCAAAGTTCCTTCCAATATTCGCTCATATCGGAACGCAACTTCTTGGATTATGGCCAATGATTGTACCAAAAATCGCCATTTTAGCTTGTGAACCCTCTAGAGGTCACAGTTTTTATCCGATTTAAGAATCGTTTAAATATATCATCGTTAAACCCTGGTGGTGGTTGGGATCGAATTTCTGAAAACTCACGAGGTTGAATGGGCGATATGCTCCTGGTCACGTAGATGCGGTGAAATGAAACCACGTCACATGATCGACACCCTTTCTCCAATGGACTTGAAGAATAGGGAAATGTATCATAGTGCATCGTGTATATTATGTGTATTTTTCCGTCTTCCTGGTTACAGTTATTCATCATTTATATAACTTATTACGGAAGTATCACCCCTGAGTGTGCATGATGATATCTAGTTGTACTAATTTTGTCAGGAAACTGGCAATGATATCATAACAGGATTAAAGGCCATATATCCGGAATTAAAGGGTGGGACCTTGAAATAGACAAAAATGGTTTTAAAAGCACATACTCGTGTGATATGAATGTATATAAAGTTTTGAAAAACATATTGTAATTCCTAATCAATTATGTTCGGTGAAATACGTGAACAGCTTTAATTCAACGGCTGTCGTTTACGTCTGCTTAGTGCATTCTATAAGTTTTGTGAATCAACCTTTACTAATTACTTCTACCCGTATTATCGTGGGTTTATAGCACAGGTTGAATGTCTTAAACATTGGCCGAGAAAGTTCATCCAGATTTTCCGGCATGGTTCCCCCTTGTCAGTGATGCAGGATGGAGGGCCTGACAAGGACAGCTGTCTAGTCATTCGGATGATACGAAAAAACGCGGTCCCGTGTACACATTGGCGTGCACGTAAAATATCCCTTGACAGTTGGAATTCGATATAAGAGTAGACCGTAGTGCCGCTGTCCGGGCAAAATTTCCCTCATAGCACACTGTATGGCGTATGCCCGTCTTCATTAGCCCAGTTCGGAGCAGAACAGTAGGACGTTAAACCCCATTTCATTTTAGAAAATACATTAAAGGTGTTGTACCTTACTCTCACATATATTTATTATTTTTTTATTTTTAATTTTATGAATACAAGGTCAACAGTACACATTACTATACTGGATATTTGTTATTAATGTAACAGTTGTGATAATGTAGTATAAATATAGGTTGCCAGGCAGGGAAACATACGCCCACAATATGTAAATCATTTTGGCGGTTCTTTAACGGTACACAAGGTGCTACAAACTGAAACAAGGGCCTTAATGCATATAAATTTCGTACAGATCGGATGATGACTTTTGTTGTTCGAGCGTTCACAATGTCCGACAAAGTGAAATAAGAGCCATAACTCTAGAACCAATTTACGGAAATTGCTGAAATTCAATAGACTTCTACGTGTCTCTCATTTAAATAATGCTTATAAATTCCATACAGAATGGATTATAACTGTTGTCGTTAGAGCATTCACAAGGTTCAACACAGTGCCACATGCGCCATAACTCTAGACGTAATTAACGGAAATTGCTGACATTTTAATAATGGTCGTTTATACATATAAACATACCATGTGTCTTTAATATACTAACTTTGCTTAACAAATATGCAATTAGATTACTACCGATATGCCATTATATTATATATATATATAAATGTTATAAAATCGGAAAAGGCACAATTACCATGCCCTTTATTAAAGAGAAACTTACTATTTATATGTAACATGCGACAAACTGCACTTTCTGACTGGGTCCGCTCAGGGTTCTTTCTTTTCTTATATCTCTTTATCGGGAATGTCGGAAATAAGAATGTCCTTAGAACGAATAAATTTTTATTATGAAATATTAATCAGTGACAATTTCGCATTGCCTTATATGGCGAATGATTCTGTTCTTTGGAATCTTAATATAGACTAAAACGGGTCTAAAAAAATATTATATAACAGGAATGTATATAACATGATTTATATACAATGTAATCTCTAGTCAATTATATTCGGTGAACATTCCAAATTGAACGACAGTCGTAACGCCTCTCAGTCCATTCAACACGTTTTTTAAAAATTAGTATTGAGTCGTTTGTGAATTAGCTATTACTAATATAATTATTCCAGCATAGTGTATTCATAAAATATCAAATAAATCAAGCTAAACAATAATGTATTTATGAAATATCAAATATAACATTATAATGGTGTGTGGGAGAGAGAGAGAGAGGTGTAAAAACGTTCACTCGAAACAAACTAGGTCTTTTAGGGACTAACACATGGTTCAATCTTATTTCAATAATTGTCTTGAGCGTAAAGGTATTTAGCAATGGGCGGAAACTGGAGGACCCGGAGAAAACCTAGGACCCTTCTCCTGGTCACGTACAACCGGGGAATCGGAACCACGCCAGTTGAATCAATGACATAATGATACATAATGGTGTGATACAAAACACGATAAATAATAAGTATTTATTTATATGTATTTATTAATATAACATTATATTGGTGTGATACAAAAACAAGCTAACCACAATATGTATTTATAACATTTTAAAACATTCTAGAGGTAATAAAACAAACTAAACAACATGTATTTATAAATATCAAATATAAAAGCTTTTATAAATTTTTACAATTTACTTCTTCGGTGCATTACTAATTACTAATGGTGTCATACAAAAACTAGCTAAAAGCTTTTATAAATCTTTACAGTTTGCTTCTTCAGTGAATTAATAATTCAATTCAAATAACTAAAGTTAGTAAAATGAAATTCTGGCTGTATATGAAAAAATATGTCAACCTTAAGAAAAAGATTCGGGTATTCATCTATACTAATATTTGTGACTGTCGTTTGTCTGTCTGTTCGGGGTTGGCGGCTACACTAGGTCTGCCCCGAGTCTGAAATTTGGGGTATAGGGGTAGTTCGGACCGGGGAGTAACATAGGCCAGGTGGCGTTAGTCTACCACTTCCGGTTTCGGAGTTATGAACCCCGAGCGAAGCCGGGTATCCTGCTAGTATTAAATAAAATAGACTGCCGTGTTTTTCATAATTGTGGTATTCAGGATGCCCCATCAGATTGTTATCCATACAGCCAGCTGGTTGTTATTTGTTATTTAAACTTAAGATTGTTATTCATACAGCTAGCTGTTTGTTATTCGTTATTTAAACTTAAGATTGTTATTCATACAACCAGTAGGATGTTATTTAAACTTAAGATTGTTACTCATACAGCTGGTTGTTATTCGTTATGTAAACGTAAGATTGTTATTCATACAGCTAACTGGTTGTTATTCGTTATGTAAACTTAAGATTACTGTTCATACAGGTAGCTGGTTGTTATTCGTTATTTAAATATGTATTATGTAAGATTTAGATAAAGAGCTAGCCATTCGTG